AACAAAACGCGTGAAGCTTTCACGAATAAATACATATGTGTCCGAGAATTTATCATTCGTCTTTTTCGAGATGTGAGCTCGGGACGCCTCTGCTCAAACTCCTTAATTGCAAGCGCAACAACAACCTCAAGAAACCTCACCCCAGCACCCCGGGGTTGTAAGATTGCATGTAAACGCGTTTTATTTTTGGACCACGGCTAGGCGGGTTACCTCACCTACCTGGGGTCCCCCACCTCCATGTAAACAGGCCCTTAGTCACTTATCCTACTTGTATTCGTGGACAGTTTGGTATGGATGATCTAAGAATCATTTGCAGGTTTAAAAAATATATTATATTATTATATTATATATGACGAATATAACGTCTCCTGGTACTACTAATTACTGATCAGCTTTCTATCACATGACATGCACAGCACCTGAGGCTACGAATGCAAAGAGTCTCGATGCCTATTTTTTTCTCTCTCTCTCCTTCTTACTTTTGTTTACTCTTTCCTTTTTCGCTATTTATTCAAAGGCTTCTTCCTTTCCTGTTTCTTTAATGAGACCTTCATATTTCTCTTTTCCGTCATCTACAATTTTCTACTCTAGTCGAGAGCATGTTACGTAACTATCCCCACAGACGCCTCATCCCTATGATAATGAGCGTTTGTAACAGGACAAAATAAGAATTCGGATTCTTTGAGCTGATTCTTGTTTGGATAGGCTAGTAAATGTGTAGACGACACGTTGCATTAATCATCATGCTATTCCATTTTCTATATCTCGATCCTGTCATTCCGTTTAGAACATTTAAGAGCTAATGTCAGCATGCATCAGACAAACAGCGGCAAGTCACCCAAAATTTGCTTTCACTCCTACCGTCATATTTTGTAGCCCAATATGTTCTAATAATTTTGGTGTAGTTTTTGTAAAAATTTATTTTGGCAAAGGGCCCTTCCGCATTAGCTAATAGTCGCTAACAAAACTTGTTTCTCTTCGCCAAAAATCACATCAAAATTTGTCCTTGCTAAATTTCAAGTGTGCCTTTACATAAGAGGGCGGGGATGCGCGACTGGAATTTCGAAAACGACCGCTATAAAAGCATAAAAGATACTTAAGTCTTATCTGTGTGGGAGTGGCAGCAATTGATGTCTACCCCTAAAAAGTACAAATTCAAAGATAAAAACTGAAAAATCCCAAAAATAAAAACTACTTTATCGATGTGCTTGAGTCAGATCATTAAAATCGTCCTAGGAATGCTTATCTCAGGTATTTTATTGGGCGAAAACAGGAGTTGGGCCCCTGGCGAAAAACACCCTAAAACGTACCAGCTGGGTCTTTGGTAGTCCACTAAAAATGGGACATCGTAAAAGGTACCAGGAAAACCCCAATAAACTCACTCAGAAATGACTCGTTTCAGATTAATTTTAATTTTACTCTGGTATCATGTGGCAACCGGTATGAGCTCGTTCTTGAACAAAACTCATTCGGATGTCATGTAAAAGGCCCATAAAAGTTTTTATTCCCAGAGCATCACGCTTTGCTCGCCTGTCTGAATACAAGCGTTGAAGCAACAACCCGCTTTTAAATGCTTCGCTGCCGCTGAAACAACGATTAGTGACCAAAAAAGCATATATTGTAATATTTTCAATTCAAAATAGACAATAATATTTATACATGGTAAATATTCATTTGTGTCGGTATCAATTATTGCGTGACTAGCTTATGATGTAAATGGGGGAGGGGAAAACACAACGCAAAACCTGGGCTCCTGTCAAAAAGTAATACCCAGACGTAAATATAGATACAATCGAAACGGCTAATAAAATCATAAATAAACAAGGTAATAGTGTTATCTTAGATTTTTTTACAAATTGTAGTGATTTATGCCTGTTAACGGTGGCGACAAGTAGGCCCACCATGTTTATTTTATAGTCGCTATCAGGTAAATTTTAGCTTCAAACTAGGTGCTCTTGTATCCCAGATACATCACTTTGACACAAAACAGAAAAAAGAGCAAAATAAATAAATAAATAAAGGCAAATAAAGGAAACCATTAAAATTCACTCGAACTTGACTCGTGACTCAAACTTGAATTGGACTCGAACTTGACTCATGATATGGAATAACTTTGTAGAAATTGATAGTGGCAGTGACAAAGATCTTGAAAGTGACTATAATTGAGACAGAGACAGGGAGAGTGTCAGCGTCAGTTTCATTGACAAAGACAAGGATAAGGGCAAAGACAGTGAGAAGAAAGTGACACTGACGGTGACAGTGAGAGAGAATGCAATAGAGAATGAGGCTGTACCAGTGACTGTTAGAAAGACGGTTACAGAGAAACAACAGTGACACTGACATGACAATGGGAGACGGCGACAGACAGTGTTGGTGACAGTGAAAGAGACAGTGACAATGATAGCAACTCTTGCACACTGTCAGATAGTGTCATGAGATAGTGATAGTGATAGTGTCAGAGAAAGTTTCAAAGACAAAGATAGTGACAGTAAGAGACCGGACCGTGACAGAGAGAAAGACAGAAACAGAAACAGTGACATTAAGAAAGAAAGTTACGAAGAATGTGACTGACGGTGAGAGATGGACAGTGATAGTGAGAGTGCCAAGGACAATGACTTAGAAAGAAAAAGTGACATCGGCAACAGTGACAAAGACAGTGACAAGGTTAATGATATCAAAGTGATGCTGATACTGACAGTGACAGAGACAGTGATAGTAACACAGACACAGTACCGCTGGTGGAGACAATGACATCGACAGAGACAATGACAGCAACACAGACATTGACCGTTAGAGTGACAGTGAGAGAAAAAGTGAGTGAAACAATGATGCTGATGGAGACAGTGATAGTGACAGTGAGATTGACAGAAACAGTGAGATTGACAAATACAGTAAAATTGAGAGACAGTGAGCTTGATAGAGACCGTCCTACTGACAGAGACGGTGATCTAGACAAAAAAAAGAGACTGACATTGACTGAGACAGTTAATATAACAGTGACAACGAAAGCAGTGGCAGTGACACTAACAATGGCACCGACAGAGACAGTCATAAGTACAGTTACACTGACAAGAGACAGTGAGTCAAATTGAGTGACAAAGAGTGACATTGAAAGAGGCAGTGACCTTTACAGCGACGATACTGAGAGAGACAGTGACAGAGATAGGGAAAAACAAGCAGAGAGAGTGACATTGACAAAGAGGATGAGTGCTAGAGCTGATGATAGTGACACAGACTTTGACAGTGACAGTAACGGAGACAGTGCCAGTGCCAGTAACAGAGACAGCGCTAGTGCCAGGTATAGTGACAGAGAAAGTGACAGTGACAAAGAAAGTGACAATGATGGTGACTGTTGGTAACAGAGAGATATGGTGATAGTGGCAGAGTCAGTGCCTGTGACAGTGACAGTGATAGTAATGGAAAGTGTCGGGAACAGTGACAGAGAAAGAGAAAAATACAGAGACAATCAGAGGCAGTGACTGTGACTGACAAATACAGTGACATTAAGAGAGTGATGCAGAAAGTGACAGAGAGTAAGAACTGAAGTGACAATTATAGTGAGGGAGTGATAGTGTCATAAATAGTAACAATGACAGTGCCAGAGATAGTGAAAGAGTGGCAAAGAAAGTGACCTTGATAGACTTAAAACAAAGACAGTGGCAGCCGTAGAAACAGTGCGTGACACTGACAGTGATAGGGTCGGTGACAGTGACAAAGGAACATTTAGAGATAAAAAGACCGTATCAGAGATGGATGAAGAGACACTGACAAAAGTGAACGTAACAATGACAGACAGTTACAGCAAGAGGAAGTGACAAAGACGTAGGTAGTTGTAGACAGTGACATGGGTAGCATTATAAAGACTTCTTTCCTAGGGAAATTTCACAGAATCGAAAGTTATTTTCAACACAAGCTTTTCCGAGCAAGGCACATCAAAGAAAATGTTGTAAAGCAGGTTCAGCTGAGTAAAATAAACAAAACGAGGCTAGGAGTCATTAATAAGATGGTCAATCGTGGAAGTTTGCCATCATAGCTTACAAATTGGGTCGTGCATCATGAAAAGCACACAGATTGGTTTACTTAACCAAATAAGGTGTTCGAAAAAGGTTTGACCTTGAAAGGAAACAAACAGAATACCAGTCGCACCAACTAAAGTAAATTTTATGATAATTTTTTAAAATATATCTGTAACGATCTGACACCAGTCAATTAAAGAGCGTGAAGGAAAAAAAGCGCAAGAAACTTTAAAATGAAGAACAGGTCTGGTTTGGCAAACAAACTCGAGCTAAATGATTATCACGACGATCTTCTGTATTGGTTTCTTCCATTCACGATTAATCCACGAAGATTGACCTCTGTTTGTTTTCATTGGCGAAGTAAGTCACGGTAAGTAAATACGAATTAATTTTTTTAAGTTGTGAGAGTTTGTTTGCTACTCTGGCATGTACAAATCTTGTGTCTCCTCCACCGAAAACTGAAGTCAAATGGGATATTTTCTCTTGACACAAGCAGATTTAATAAAGCTTTTAATTATTCAATGTCTACAGTTCAGTTTCTGTCACAACAATTTTTTTTGGTAGTAAATTTAGGCCGTCGGGCTTCGTTAAACACTTAAAATGTTGACATTTCTTCCTTCTTTCTATCTTTGGGATAATAAAATTTGCTTGCGCTTTGATAGCTTTCGTTGTCTGAATCCATAACTGCAAGTCACTTGTTACAATCTTTACATCTTAAAGCTTCTCTCCTGAAGCGCTTGAAAAGTGCAAATTGCAAAACTCGAAGTGGTCCGTACCTCGGGTTCGGATGAGAAAATTCCGAACCGTCAAAGCGCGCAGAATAAGCTACTCAGATTCAAAGATTTAGGATTCTGGACCGCTGAGATGCTTGAGAAATAAAAATAAAAACTGTCCTTATCTTCTAGACACAACTGATCTTATGAAAACACGGTGGCCTTACATATGAAATTAACTTTTTCAAGTTTCAGACAATATTCTACGATCTCTCATTCATAAAATGCTGTTTATATCACCCTAAAATAGAATTCACATGTTCCCATGTACTACCCTCTTAGACAAGCAATCTATGCAAAGGAGGGCTCTACATGTGGTTAAAATAATACAACGTTCCGTTTCATTTTAAAATATGTAAATATGGTTACAATAATACAACAATGTCTAGTTTCACTATAGTATATGTTAATGCTGACAGAGTTACAATTGGTTAATAAGAATTGAGTTACATTGTGTGGTTACACAGTATTCATCCTCAATGTATATGAATATGAGGTTCTCCTTTTCAAGGCAACATTTATTATAATAGGAAGTTAACAAAACTAGTTGGAAAACCTTTGAAAATAACATTTCTGTATGCTCACGAGCGAATGGCTTCCAAACATAAAATTGTACTTTCTGTTGCAAGAACTTTCATCATCATGGCAAGACGGAGAGCATACAACCAAATTAATCAAAATATTGTTGTTTCCTTAAACCCTCCTACACACTAGTTCGTCCAATTTTCAATTGTAACTTGAATGCCACATTAAAAATTTGTTACAGATATATTTATGATGATAAATAAAGAAGAAAAACTCAGTCAGCTACTGATTAAAAACCTGACTATCGTAATAAAAATTCAAAACAAAAACTGAACTCAACAAAACATTTTTACACCAACATATCAGAGAAACAAACACATGCACGATAAATATCGAAGGTAACTAAAATTAAATAAGGAAAATTGGTATTTAGAAACAGTTTGAATTTTTAGACATTGGTAATAGTACAAGAATTCAATGTCTGGTCACCATACCAGCCACAAAAAAAAAATTTTAACACATAAATAATGTAACAAAAGAATTCTCTCTTTACATTAAGATGCACGCATGGTATGTAGGAGATATTCATGAAAATAAAATCAAACTCCACACGCTTCAAAAAGGTTAATTATTTGCGTTCTGCATTTGTGCTGTAACAAGACCGTAGTAAACTCCTTTAAGGTTCAACAAGTCTTGATGAGTTCCTTGCTCTGCCACGCGCCCGTGATGGATCACTGCTATGATGTCAGCGTTCTGCACAGTGGACAATCGATGTGCAATGATGATAGCTGTGCGACCCTCACTAGCGGCATCCAGAGCTTGCTGCACAACCTATAAGTGTATCGAACGAAAACCAGCATTAAAAGTAATCAGTGATGCCAAAAACTAGACACGATGACGAAGACAACATGTTCCTGTGTTCTTTCTTGTCTGTTAATTTTGGGAGAAACATGTAATCAGGGATGGCAGGAGGCCATAAGAGAGTGACATTCAGAATGTTTACTGGGAAAAAGATCACTTTCACAAACATCGAAACCGCCTTGAAATCTCTTCTTAAAAAATAAGGATCTCAAAGCAAAAACGCCGAAAAAGAAAAGTTGATTTAACCCTTTCTCATGAAACATCAAAATGTATTTAACACCCAAGCACCACCTCAGAATTGTAAGACGCATGATATGTTCGGCTGCCTGACCTTCTCACTCTCTGTGTCCAGGGCAGAGGTAGCCTCGTCAAGAAGCAAAATATGTGGATTGCGGATCAACGCCCTGGCAATAGCTATTCTTTGCTTCTGTCCTCCTGAGATAAGAGTCCCTTTGTCTCCCACCAGAGTGCTATAACCCTACATAAGAAAAAAACAGTCATCATGCAGGCGAAATGACTCACTCTACTTAAGCTTAAGGCGGATTTTGTGGGACGAGGCGACTGGGAGTATTTCTCCACCCTATGGATAGAATGCTCATACATCATAGGTTTCCCCATAATATTTTCTCATGTCTCCTTCACAACTCCCTCCTACACGTAATCATTTATACACCTGGTGACTGAAGAGAGGCACTGTAAACTTGAAAGATGTGAAAAGTATTTTCAATAAAGACAACCGCACCTAAACCTTAATCAACGGGGAGATCAATTTTCAGGTTTGACTTGGCTTCTTATATGTGAGTTAATCGGTAAATTTCCATACCAGGGGTAGAGAATTGATGAAACTGTGTACATTGGCTGATTTAGCCGCTGCCTCTATTTCATCCTGACTGACTTGACGGGAGTTGTCACCATACGCGATATTATCGGCGATACTGCAGCCAAACAATATGGGCTCCTGTGACACAATACCAATATGAGAGCGCAGCCACTGAATGTTCAGAGTTCGGACATTGTTACCGTCGATGGCCTGTAACGAAGAACATCAGTTATAAAGTGACTCTGCACTGTGTATTAATTTCATTTGCTCTTCATAGATACTAGATTCTAGCATTTGTATTGTACTCCTAATCAATCAGTAAGCCGATGCACGCATTCACAATACCAAACATTACTTCGACTGCAAACTACAGAAAGAACTACAACATACCGTAATCGTTACGGTATTGTTTGTATTTTAGGATATGTGAAGAACTTGAAACTTACCACTTCTCCGTCCTCAGCATCGTAAAATCTCTCCAAGAGGGAAACAACTGTACTTTTACCACAGCCACTGGAGCCAACAAGAGCAAGTTTTTGTCCTCTCTGAATTGACAGTGTTAATCCGCGTAGTACTTTGACATTTTGTCGCGTCGGATAACGGAAACGTACGCTGCGTAACTGGATTGTTCCCACCATAGAATTCTGTAGGAAGATGATGAAAAACATCGAGTTGTTATTTGAAAAATATTCGATCATTTAGTTCTACAATTTTTTTAAATACAGACCCATTAGGCAAGAAAATCTTCATGTTGTGGAAAGAAAAGTTCTTAAAAATGAAAATATTACACCGAAGCCTATTAATTGACACGATTTCCATCAACAGAAAGGATGATCTAATCCGATTTTAAACTACACCCAACACACTTCTTTCACCTGAGAGGTGCTACATTTTAGTTAGTTAAGAAGCTTCAGTTCTCTAAAGTTTTCAAGAGTTTCTTATTTCTTTTTAAGTCTGTTTCCAAACTCTGTAGCTAAGTTAACTAACCGGTGTTAAACCATCTTGAGATGAACTGTCGACCAGAGACTTGCGATCAAAAAGTTTAAAGAGGCGAGCAGCAGCTATCTTGGCTTTCTCATAGTCTGGAGACAAGGCACTAACTTGACCCAGCACAAATCCACCCATCAAGATGGACAGTACCACCCTGCCGACAAAAAACACCAACACAACGAACATTAGGTGTTCGTTCATGTAACAGTGGCTCAAAACACGCTGTTCCCATCTTTAAATACACTCGATCCCAAACGAACCCTGGTTTACATCTAAAAACCATGTAAACATTCCGTCCAAATGACGCACACTTGATAAGTTTGGTGACGACTCTGGAAAACTGACTCCATACCTGAACACTTACTCCAGGTTTACTGGTAAACATAAATTGCTGTTTTTACGAAGTTCTATCTCACAACCACCAAATAACTATCCGACAAGACCTTAATGAACCAAAAGCCAAACAAAACCAATCCAACAAATAGAGAATAAAATCACTGACTTTTCCTAGCTTTGCACAGGAAGTTTAACAGCTAGCCTCGATTTGATGTACCACAACTAGTCTTCCTACTCGTGTCCACTGTGTATTTATAGAAATCAGCAGTTTATATTCCATGCAAAGTTGTAAAAGAACGGTACTCACTTCATAACTTCATCCATGTCCATCTCTCTTTTTACCACAAGATACCCCCCATATCTGAAAGCGACTGCATTAGCAAAGAACATGAACGCCTCTGATAAACCAAATGAAGCCCCTTGTAAGTGAGCCCGTTTCATTGCCTTTCTACAAGTCAGGAGAAAGTTACAAATGTCAGTGAAGGGGCGATAAGAAACAAACAAAAACACAAGCGGATAAATATAAAATATTACAATGACATCATATATAAAAATGGTTCACTCCGTTTCAGTGAGGAGCAAGAAATCACGAAAAATACTAATAAAAAACAATTTCGTTGTTCTCTTTTCTCACGCCGGCAATTACTGGCTTCTCGCAAGTTAGATGTAACATTATAATTTACATGCTCTGAGTCACGTTTCAAGAAGAATTAATCCAAATCATACTCTTGCTGTTTGAGCCTCGTTCTGTTATCACTTACTTGTAGGGGCCGATCAAAGCTCGACTGTAATCGTTATAGAAGGTGGTTTCCCTGCCCAGTGAAGCCACAGTTCTGATATTTTCTATAGTTTCAACTGCGATCTATGAAGACCAAATAAAGTGCAGCCAGGGTTAAAACAATGTCATTCAGAGACCATGTTTTTTAAAAGATATTTTTCAATACTACTGTAAGAGCTTTAAAACTGGTTATAATCTTATTCAGTCACGAATCATTGTCGCAGCCCTAAAGTGCATGCATGAGTCCAAAGTTTTTCACTTGAACTCTTTAAGAGCTAACTGAATAGGGTGTAAAAACACTTTCTGTAAGGGATGAAATATTTCCAACCTTTTTGTATGCTTTTCAAATGCTTTTTACATACATATTTATACCGCATGGCAAATTTAAAAAAATTGAGCGGGAAACCCACATGAAGACTGTCCTTGATGTTTCCATGAAGACTACCTAGTAAACACGCCTATACGTTCCTTAAAAGGTGATCAGGATCTCACCTTGCCAGATTGAGCAAAATCGTCTTCACCATCACTAGAAACTTTACCTCCGGCAAACACTCTCATCTGAATTGCACTGGCAACCACCAGTATCGGGATGAACGCCAGAACAACGAGTGTCAGCTTCCATCCATTAATAAAAGCATACACAAGGCAGGCAATAGCTGTGCTCAAAGACATTGCAATAGTGCCGAGTCTAGAACCTGCGGCCTGAAATCATATTGTATAACACATTTAAAGCGGCCGAACGCTCAGTACCTCATTTCACGAGCTGAATTACCTAATTTTGCAACACTGGCAATTGGTAAAGTTCTCACATTTCTTTGCAAAGCTTCAGAACCACGAGATAATAGTTTTTCCCCCCATTGCTTCACAGCCCAAACACAGAAATAAGTTCGCAATTCACCAACGAATTCATGGACCATATTTGTTGGAGTTAGGTTATGTCCACAGAGCTAGATTAAAAGCTCGTAACATGGCTTCGGTAAGCCAATCAGAAGGTAAGAAATTCAGTAACTGTGCTCTAGGTTTAACTTGTAACTGTTATAGAGTACGTCTCCACATGAACCTGATTCTCTCTTAACCTAATTGAGAAGACTATCATCCCTTCCCCTAAAGCAGTTGCGCCATTGAACACTAGTTATCTAATATAATAAAAAAACACATTAGAATAGAGCGATATCTACCCCTTGAACAGCCGAGGCGTGTGTTCCCAATGCTGTGGTCAATGCCCCAGTACTGTGCTGCGGATCATCAAAGTACGACATATCCTGTTGAACAATTACAAGACTGATAAGTAAACGAAGCAGTGAACTTCAGTGAGACAGCATACAGTGACAGTGAGACAGCATATATACTGTCGAAACAACATCCAAAAATTGATAAACTATCCATCCATTCCTGAGCTGGATTGATTATTTTAACAGAAATTTAGAAAACACAGAAAAATCTCCTGGACTGCTAAAAATTTGTCTTTGACACTATTCGTTCCACAGAAATGAACGAGACTACTGTAACAGTTATACCGTTCTTTTGCAATAAAAATGCCGAGCCACTAGGCCAGACTAGCGCAGTACTAAAACTATCAGAGGAAGGAGTGAGTACTGTATTTGCTTAGTCACATTTACCACTTCACACGTTATTACTTTACCAGTAAATTACTGACCTGTCTTAGGATGGCCTCAAATGCCATTTTTCTCAGGCGTAAAGTTAACAGTTCGCCTGACTTTGCGAACATAAAACTCTAACAAAGTAAAAAGAATGACACTTTTATCGCCTAGAAGTGACTAATATTCTTGTAATGCACCACACTGGGAAGTATAAGCACAGAGTAGTGTTACATTTGTAGTATTAGCAGTGTATTGCTCTGATTTGTAAGTAAAGTCAACTAAAAATTGGATAACTGAAATTTGAATAATAATTGCCACTTAAATGGCACAGATGTAGGACTGTTACAAATATTGACTCTGTGTTGTACAAAACAACATTTGCTATGAAACTGGGAGAATTGCATTCTAAGAAGCAAGAGCAAATAATGCAGAATTAAATACATTTCTATGATAAAATCCAGTCATATTTAACCTGTATAACATTTGCAACAAAACTTGCAACACCAATGGCGAGAAACATGAGTGACCAGAATTCCGACTGCTTCTTCATTTCACCTTTATCGTGTAAAGTGAAAACCTAAAAAGGAGAAATAAAAGTAGTTTGAAAATTACATGTATGAGCACACCCTTGGTAAGTATGCGTGGTTTAGCAATGGTTGCCACTGTCATCAAAACTAGTGTTATTCTTTGCTAAGGCTTGCAGCCATTATACGGTTTACCTCAAGAATTTCAGACAGAACCAATGCAAAGGCAAATGGGAACAGTCCATTTATGGCCCCGGCTACACTTCCTAATACCAAATATGGCCATTCTGTTTTGTTTAACTTTATAATACGCATCACAGGAGCTGGCTCCACTTCCTCCTCCAAAATTTTCTCTTTATCATCTTTGTCATTCTTACCCTAATATTTGTGACAACAATTAATGATTAATACTACTGCAATTACCTGGATGCAACAAACATTAATTATAAGAAAAAAAAGAAACAAGCAAAATTGCAATCAAATGATTACTTGCAACATTAATGAGTGAGGACTATGAATTATAAAGTTTTCTCTGCTGCTATTCACTGTAACAGTGCTTCAGAAATGAATGATCACTGTAAATTTATCCATTTCAATATCTCAGCAACAACTGAATTCAAACACTCATTCATATGATAACCAAATAATTAACTATCAGGTACCATTAAAATTTCATAAGTTTAAAAATATGATTGGCCATTTTTCCAATTTTTAAGACAAAAATTTAAATAGTAGTTTGCTATGACTAAAGTTTCTGCTCAGCTGGGGACTTATTTTGTTAATTTGTTATTCATTACCCAGAAATAAATGTATTTTGAACTGTTATTCCCTGCTAGGTTACAGCACATTTCTTCTAAAAAAACCAACCCTAAACTTCTGCCTCCTTTTGATAAATAATATCTTCTTTTTCTAATTTTATAGTTTTTGCAATACTGATTCTTTTTGGTGGGAACTTGTAGATAGAGAGATATTTTGCAGAATATGCATTTATTCAATTGTCAGAAATGCTGATAACTGACTACACATGTATTTCATGTTATTTCCTTTTATTTCAACAAAACACTTTGTCAAAGCAAAGAAGGCACCAAGTCACAGCCAACCTCCAAGCAACCAACAACACACCACCAAGTTTCTGACCAAGTTTCTGGCATAAATACTTACCCAAAAAGTTGAGGGGGTGAGGTCAGGGAAACAAAGCCAGCAAAGTAGCTGAGCAAATTGAGAAAAAGCTCCATACAATACCCCAGCCTGCAAACTTCCCTTGCTGCTGCCCCCACCAATATCAATATGGTGAAACTGCGACATTGTCCATTGACTTAGTTTTAACTTGTCTCATTTTTTTAAGAAGATAACTTAAAATTTTCTCTGTAGAGGAAACTAATTTATTGTAAGGCCTATGGTCAATGACTGATTCTTGTAATTTAATCTTGTGATAACTTTGCATCCTTTTTTCCATGCAACATAAAGTCAGCCTATGAGTCTGCAAGTCAACACCAAATACACGCACATACCACAGACTTCGCAGAGGCTGGCCGATCAAATGCAGAACTGCCCCTCCTCTTGGCAGACAATCTTTGTGATGCTCTTCTTGAGAGCTTCCTCTCAAGCTCAGTGTCTTCATGCTCACTGTCACTCGACATATGGGACATGCTGCGCATAAAGTTCACTGCTGCTGTCTGTTCTAAGAATCAGAAAATGTTCATAAAAAGGTTAATGAAGCGACATGCGCTCGTATCATTGCTAAAAAATATTGCAAAAACAGTTGTCAATATCTTTACCGTACTAGTTGTTATTTTGTTCTACTGGATAAATACTGTATTATTGTATTACATTTTTGTTTCAATGATATCTTTCCAACATTTTATGTCTTTTTGCTTGATGTCAGCTGTCCTTCCTACCTTTATCCTCAATGTCCTCTGTTTCATTATCATTATCACCAATTTCTTTGTCCTCTTTGTCCTCCTCAAAAGTCTATGAAATAATAATCAACAATGCTAAAACAACAATAATTACAGATCAGTTCTTCCAATGAGACCCACCAAAGAATTCATTGCCTTCTAATGTTTCTCAACAACCTTAGAGATACATAAAACAGTTCCTGCACATGGCCTTACATTTTAGCAACAGGATTGTACTATTTCTAATGCATCGGTTCTGGTGCTACCATGATCTTCACTTAAAAGTGAACCAGGTTTTTAGAACAAAATTGTGAATATGTATATTTTATCAATAAGGTAATGGCCCAAGACTGAAGCTTTTGAACAGAGGTAGAAAAAAAGGTGAATCTTAAACCCTATTAAATGTGAAGAGATGTTAATAAACTTTATGTTATGTCCTAACTTTACTCTCAGACCATAAGTTGTTTGTAACAACAGCATAAAACTTGTCGCTTCTTACAAGATTCTAGGAGCATTTATCGATAATGACCTAAAGTGAAATAGCCATGTTGACTACATATATAATACATATATATCTACTCCCTATGTATGCTATGTTGAGCTGGCATAGATCAAGGTGGCATGTTAAAGGTCTATACAAGCTCTGTTAGGTCTGTTCTAGAGTATGCCGTGCCAGTGTGGCAATCCATTCCAGGTTATCTGTCTACCAAAATTGAATCCATACAGAAAAGGGCACTTAAGATAATTTTCCCATTTGCTGATAGCTACTCAGATGCCCTCAAGGGTATCCAGTCACTTTGTTCCATGACCACTTCGTTCCAAACCACTTCGTTCCAAAGAATATTCACTTTGTTCCAAGTGTAAACTAAGCGTGTAAACTTCTAATCTTACAAAACTAGTGAATACGGTATACGCCGTCTGTTGTGACGGCCATTTTGAAACTTGTGAAGTACCTGCCGTGTGCGTGGAATCTGGGACTACTGGAAACAACTATACGTATACTCGTTGATCATAGCAACCAGACCAAAGTAAACCTTGATTTCATTATTTCAACATCGCTTTACTTTTTTATCAGACTTGAGTAAAGATGAACCTGCTTGTTATTACTAAGTTAACCTTTCTTTACAGTATTTATTAGTTTTAGACTGACGAATATGCAAAATCATGTTTAGATTGAACATAAACGCGAAAAGATGTGAAACCACGCGTTGATCATAGCAACCAGAATAGAGCACTTTCATCACGACAACATCTCCATGTGATCACAAAGCGCTTCACTATTTTTCCCTTTTATAAGATATGATCCATCTTTCATCATACTTTACTTTCATCATACGTTACTTTCACTGAAGAAGATGCAAATCTATGATTTGTTCAAAAAAACCTGACTACTTGGTGGAACGAAGTGACCAAAGGATGGAACGAAGTGGTTTGGAACGAAGTGGTCATGGAACAAAGTGGCCGTAATTCCCCTCAAGTTAGCATGGGTGGAGACCCTTGCGTATAGAAGAGATGAGATATGTAGAGAATATATGTGCAAAACAAAGGACTTAAACCACCCTCTTCATTCTCTTCTACCAACACGCTGAGACGATACCTGTCCCTACACCCTAAGGCACAAATCAGACCAGCTGCCAGCTGATAGCATGTTAAAGGTCTATACAAGCTCTGTTAGATTTGTACTAGAGTACGCCATGCCAGTGTGGCAAACTATTCCAAGTTATCTGTCTGACAAAATTGAATCCATGCAGAAAAGGGTGCTCAGAGACCCTTAAAGCTTTGCCAGCGGGATCTTCATCTCCTAGTAGGGCCACCCAAGCTGGACAGGTCAAAGGGTAGAGGTCTGATATGTCATGATCCACTTGCCCTCCAGGTTGGGGGGTTGGGCACAGGGCTAACAACCCTGCCCCATAAAACACCCATGTTACAGAAACAGCATAAAGCCGCCCTACCTGCCACATGGTATAATGGGCATGAGTGAGTGAGTGTGCTTATTATTATTATTATTATTATTATAATTATCATCATCATCATCATCATCATCATCATCATCATCATCATCATCTTACTACACTGCATATTATCAATTAACAATTGGTTCATACATCGGTGTGCATTCATTGGGATATGAAGCATGCAGGAAGTTTGGAGAGCACAAAACATGTGTAAGAGTTGCTCGAGGCATAGGGTAGCTTCTTGAGTGCTCTCCAAACTTCCCAAGTGCTTCATATCTCGATAAATGCACAGCTGACATATGAACCAATTGTTTTATAACATTTTCAACTGATGGAAAAATTTTCTTCTCGAGGGATTTGTTTGCCGATGTCATGAGTGTGCACAATAGGAATATGAAGCAGAAATTGTTTCACAAAAGGCGTTAGCACTCTGAAAGTTTATTCACTGTAACTCCCCCAATTGAATTTGATTAAACAAATTTACTAGCTATGTTATAAAAACATTTTATTCAGTATTACATGTACATGTAAAAGGCTACCACTTCAAACTGATAAAGTTTTTTAACTTTCATATTTAACAAATAAAGAAACCTCGACTGTGTTTTGTTCTGTTGTAAAGCATGCACGAAGTAGCTAGAGCATGAAAGAAGTGTAGAGAGGAAACACCAGACATAGTTGAGTGTCTCCCCGCCCCTACTTCTTAAGTGCTCTGGCTGCTTCATAAGTGCTTCACAAAAGAATGGAACACAGTCAAGGCTTTTCTATTCACTCTATAGTGTAGTCAGCATGTTCTATACTGTCATAAACTGTGCCACAATAATCCAATCAGATCATTGTTAGAATGGTGCAAAAAATCTGATTGATAAAAATGACTAAAGCTGTCAGAAATATCAAATGATCAAAGTTCAGAATCATATTTCCAAACTGAAATAGTTCCACAAGTCAAATTCAACCATTTTGCTTGTAGTTTCTCAGTCTACATACAGAATCTGAGAATAAGTGGTTTGAGAAGTCCTGCTGAATTGTGGCTCATGAAAACCAGGCAAGTTTTCCAACATGAAGATTAGAAAACAAAGTGCTCAACCCCTGTGTTTTATGAATGAATCACAGCTGAATTCACAGAAACATGAACAATGCTCAGGGACTGATGTGGCCTTTTGGGATTTCCATCTCTGCTTGTGTTATAATTTCCTCAATTACAGCCCAATGGTAAGATTACAAACAGTCAGGTCCGCATAATATGAGCAAAGTGGCAGTTACACAATAACTTTAAACACTGCTAAACAAGAAAGATCAGGAAGTAGATCTAAAATATGTACCTGTAATGTGACAAGTTGGTGATAAACTCCATCAGTCTGCATGAGTTCATCATGGCTTCCTTTCTCAACCACCACACCACCCTGTATGGCAGCTATAACATCTGCATTCTGAACTGTTGACAAACGATGAGCAATCACAATGGTTGTTCGACCCTGACGAGCCTAGAAAATAAGGAAAATCATAGAATTGAGATTAAAATATGGCGACACTATGAGAAAATGCTTAATTATATAAGTTGATTCAATTTAATATTGAGTCACCCTTTTCTATTTCTGAATATGTCAAGAGGATTTCTTGACAAGCTTGGGAAAAGCAATACATTCATGATATAAAGGCATCAATGACTCACTTGATCCAAAGCAGCTTGTACAATCGATTCACTTTCACTGTCCAGTGCTGATGTTGCTTCATCTAACAACAAAATCCTTGGATCTTTTACCAGAGCTCGTGCAATTGCAATACGCTGCTTCTGTCCTCCACTGAGTTGAGTTCCACGTTCACCAACAAGAGTATCATAGCCCTACAAAACAAAGAAGTAGAGAAAAGCAATCATAAATTTCATTAAGTAGAAATTCTAACAAAATTTACCACCAGAAGATCAGCAAGCTCTACTCTTCAGTGCTCATTGTCTGTACAGGTTCACTGGGAATGTTGCAACTTCATCTTGATAGGTTCTTGAGTTCTCAAGGATTTACGTGTATGTAGAAGATGATTTCAATAGGTTCATGCAGTTTTGCAGCATTTGTTTTCAACTGTTCCCCTTCTCCTCCCCATCCAAACCTTCCTTTTCCCCCCTCCCACGCTGATCTAGTCAGTGTTGATGTGTGCCTTAGTTGCCTGGTTTGGGCAAATTTATTAGCTAGAGGGGGCAATAATCTATCTGGGGTTGGATATAGAAATGTTGAAAACTCTAGGATATCTCATGCATCCACTACTCTTAATTGACTGGGAAGGAAGTTACAGTGAATACACTTGCAGAGTGCTAATGCCTTTTGTGAAACAATTTCTACTTACTTGTGGGAGTCTTTGAATGAAGTCATGGGCATTTGCCATCTTTGTTGCTCTTTCAATATCCTCCTGTGTCACACCATCTTTACCATACCTGATGTTCTCAGCTATTGTGGTGGCAAAAAGAATTGGCTCTTGACTCACAACACCAATTTGCTCACGTAACCACTTTAGGTTCAAATTGCGAATGTCATAGCCATCAACAGTTACCTTCATGATAATAAAAAAGTACATTATCACCCAGCAAGCATTGGAACTGCACTTCTCTTCAGTTGAAATATTTTGGTTTGGGGAAAACTTAGCTCTCTTTTGTTTTTAAGAGCAGTACACATGCCTAGTAACATTTTGTATCTTTTGTCACTAGATTGATTATTTCCCTTTCCTAAGAGGATAAAGTACATTTTACACTTTAATTTATAGAAAAACAAAATTAGCCATCAAGTTTTAATCTGAGATTACTCTTTGATCAAGTAGTCTGATTACCAGGGTAGGAATTGCCTATGATAGTGACTGATTTTTTGACAAACTTTACAGAAGTTACCCTCATAGGTGAGACACTGACAATGACACCCACTACAGTAATTGAAACATCATCATACTCAGGCTACATGATCAAATGTTACCCTTAAGTTCAACCCTTTACTACAAGAGATTACAACTGTCTGCTAAAATAATAGCACCAATAAAAGGAATAATGATAATATTGATGGAGCCAAACCAATCAGGGTCTGTGGGCTAAAAGTGTCAGAGAATCATCAGATCTCACCTCACCACCACTTGGGTCATAGAACCTCTGTAAAAGCTTCACTACTGTACTCTTTCCACAGCCACTCTCACCCACCAATGCCACAGTCTGTCCACTTTTAACAGTCAGGTCTAAGCCATTTAAAGTCTGAAAAACAGATTACATGACGTGCTGACAATTCAATATCAAGTTACCTTCTCCACAGTATTACCAGTATATCAATCTTACAATTCTAGAATTGTTAGTAGACCATAATCGTATCAAAATTTACCAAAGTAGTAACAAGAAGCAAAAGCCATAAGGCTTTAAGGGAGGAAAAGAGAGAAAAAATATACAAAAACAAAAATGTTAGGAAAGATATGGAGCAAGAACATTGGAGAGTGACTAAAGTGAGAGATGAAGGAGATGAATGTGCAAAATACTGCAAAATTTCAAAGATAGGCAGATTGTTGGAATTCTCTTACAGAGGCAATGTGGTAGTGACAGCAATGGAAAGAATTACCCTGTTGGAGACTGACCAAAACCATGACAAAAGAAATACCTGGACCTTCAAAAATCACTTACACAAGAGAACTTAGAATAGACTGGAGAAATGCCCCTATACAAGTAGGTCAAACAGAGGTTTTGTAAATTTTCAAACATATACTAAATGTCTTTACCTAAGATACCTTTAAGCCAGTTGTACTTAAATGTAGCACACTTACATTTATACTCTTTCTAGATACAAGCAAAAATTGATTTCATACACTTGCTGAAAGTCCCTCTTTTATAAAGACAAATTAAAGGACAATAAATTTCCCATGTTGTGTACATTTGAAATTATTCTTGCTAAGAAAAAATGGCAGTGAATATTAAAAAAAAACAAAAAAAACAACAACAACAACAAGCAAAAACAAAACAAAACTAAGCACCTCCAAATGGACTTCTTCCTATAGGCCTTTGAATTCAGTTAAAAAAAAAAAAAATGGGTGGACCATTTTTTCCTAATGTTGCTGTTGCATGATCAACTATAATTTTACCAGGAGAATTGTCCAAATACATATAACTAACCTTTATATCTGGTCTCGATGGATAGGAAAATTCAATGTTCTTAAAAAGTATGTTTCCCTTGAAAGAACTGTGATCTAGCACTTCACCATCAGCAGAACTTGAGTCAATTGGAGGAATCTTCATTGCATTAAGCAAAAGCAAAGTTAAAAATTAATAAAACTTGCTGCCATGAGAATTGTTTTTCCTGTGAACACAGTTGTAGAGTTAAAATAGTTATTATAATAATAAAGGATATCCTGCAACTTTATTTGGTAGAAATGTTGCGAATCATCAGTACCACACTCAGCACAATTAAATGGAAAAGTATGATGTATCAGACAATTACAAGTCACAGATTTGAAGTTTGTCAGCAAAAGATCTGTCAAAATGTATTTTCATTCAAGCACTGTAAAAATCCTAATGAGATATTTTACCAGCTCACTAACGGACATTATTTTAACCCTATCTTATTGCTGATGTGCTACACATCTAAGGATTTGGTAGAATTTTAAAGGAGGAAATTTTAGCCCATTCCACAACTCAGGTAACTTTAATTTGTTATGACATAAAAAATTGAAACAAGTGATTTTTCTGAGAAAAAAAATATCATATTGAAAGGGCTGAGGTTTTCTGAAAGTCTCTGAAAGTGAAGCCAAAAACAGTTGGACAAAACCTGAAACTTAATATGAATGCCTAATTGAAAACAAAAGTTGCTGAGTTTGCATTTGCACAGCTTTATCTTTTGCAATGACAATGATGCCATACTGTTAATGGCTATTTACCCTGTCAATAACAAGAAAAACTTTATATGCTGCTCCTTGTGCTGTTGCTATGGACTCAAAGTTTGGACCAGCTTGACCAAGCTGCATAGCTCCAAACATAACTGAAAAGAACACCTAGATCAACAACAACAACAAAAAACAAAAACAAAAAATGAAAGTAATGCCTTCCTACATGCATGAACTTAGTAACAGAAACCATACACATCCCTATTGAATTACTTTAATGGGTTAGAGAAGAAATCATTCCAAACAAAATTGTAATACTGGAAATTTAAGATATACTGTGATTCAAAATGTTTAAAAAAAAGGCTACTGGGCTCCAAGGTCAGATCATAAACACATTTTTCAAGGTTTCTCCACAACAAACATTCTCCATGACTGCAATTTAAGATTACTGTCAACAAAATCTTGTCAAAATTTTTTAAATTAGTCTTTTTGCTCTTTAGTTAGAGAAAGCAGGTAAGTATCATTTGCCAAAATAATTGTCACATCTGAAGAATATTGTGAGATATGGCTGAAAGAATGTTTCTGGGGAACCTGTTCCAAAGAAAAAAAGTGTCACAATTGGAAAGGCCTCCAGCAGAGTGTTGATATTTGCCACAGGCTTCTGTCCAGGATCTTGCACTGCATGACAAAAAGGAATTTCTAGCACATTTTGGAGAATGAGAGAGCCCAAGCCAAAGAAATCACAGTTAAGTTTTCTTTTTCCCAGCTTGATTTGCTCACTTTTCCTTCTGCTTTTCTCTAAGTAGTAGCGTAGAATGATTTCTTTGGAACCCACCCTATTTGGTTGACAGTAACCTCAAACAGATTTGTATATAATATACACATTTCAGCATACATGTTAAAAACTCCACTAACTATCAATGCAGTTAAAGGGAATAAAAATAATTGTATTTCACATGAGAGAAGAAATAAATAAAAGGTTTCATCCAAATATACTTTTAAACTCTTAAATGTTGTTATCAAACAAAATTCTTGTATCAAACAAAATGCTTCATACAATGAGCAGGTCGCCTCCATTCATTTCTCCATCAATGATTAACTTTGCACCATACCTACAGAACAATCATACATCACATCTAATTGGGAAGATAGCAATCATTTGTAAGAAGTAACAATACATCATTGTGAATGCAAGGCATGCTAAAATATAGACAGTGGGTGAAGTGACACCATGGCTTCTGAGGAGTGTGTCCAATGGTGTACAAGTAAAAATTTTCTGTTTTTCCTTTGTTTTTTTAACTAATGGAAATTAATTTAAGAAGTGTTAAATTTCACTCAGGTGCAAAATTCTTTCAGTTCCCTTATAACTTCCTCTTTTTCTTACATACCAAAAAGCCAAGGCATAACTGCCAAACATGATGACTTGAAAAAAGCCCATGCCAAAACCAGACATGAGACCTTTCTTAGTGCCAAAGTCTCGGGCTTCTCCCAAATGCGATGAATATCTAAAGTAGAAAAAAGGGATTTTAACTTTGAATCCTTCTCTGTGGTTGGACATTGGTTGACTACTATGTTCTAACACCCACTTGGCACAATTGCAACATTTTTTTGACAATACAAGTACACCGACAAGGATAATTTACATAAGTTCATCAATTTTTGTATTTTTTTTGGCCGCCAAATATTTAAATCTAGGATTAACTAGGAGTGAAAGTCCATGAATACTGAAATGTAAACAATTACAGTTTATTGCTGTCCAATAGTGCACAAACCTCATCACACAGTCTTAATTTCAGCCCACTATTTATCTAACAGTAAAATGTTTTACCCTCAAATCTCAGTGAGCCATCATTGCATATTGTGACAAGACAAACACAAAGTATTTTCTAAAAGTTAATTAGCTGGATGTCCAAGATTGTTTGAATGTTTCAGGCTTAACTTTCATCTACAGTACACTTTTTCTCCACGTTCGACAACATATCTGTTAACTTGCACTTTGAATGCCACAAGGGAGAACCTCTTTCTGAAAATTTGCTTGGTAACTTATGAGTCACACTGATTAAACAGAGATTGACACACTTGTTTGATAAACGGTGTTTATGCAATTCCAAATTGGATTCAAATATTACTTAAGATGAAAATTACTTAGCACTAATTGGTTATGAGTGAATTCTTGTTTTCTATATTTTTTGTTGAGGATCAGATGTAAATTGTGTTTCTTTAGTATGGGTTCTTGGCAATCTAGATTGAATTCCTTAAATAGGACACTTGGAATGAATGTGATGAGAATTTAGACAGTAATGGTAAGTAGAAGGGAGAAATGGCCAACTTTTCATGCCAAAAGTAGGTAAATAAACTGAATTGTGGAAATGTGTATGTATATGGACTCACTTCGTGAGTTTGCTTGAAAGCTTCCAAAGTATGGCAGGTGATTCACAATAGAACACCTGATAGAGCTCCCGCTGGTACCAGGTGTTATCGGAAGCACTAATAATGACCTACTAGTGGAATAATAAGCTATATGGGAGGTTTCTGAAGAACATGACCTAAAATCTCCCAGGTAGCTATGCAAGCCTTGTTCTATATATCAATCAGTCTAGAAATGAAGAAGTCAAGGAACCAAGGAATCAAGCAATCAGTGCATGAAGCAATCAACAAATGACTGCATCAATCAATTTATTTATCAACCAACCAATTAACAAATAATTATTTCAGCTTCTTTCTTCTTTGTTTATATATAGTGTTCAACAAGGTGTGTTCATACCTTTCAATTTCTTTCCTCTCCCCTCCAAAGGCAGCTACAGTTCTGATTGATGAAAGTACCTCTTCTGCTATGCTTCCAGCTTTAGCATAAGCGTCAAGCTCCTTGGTTGTAATCGAAGACAACATCTGCCACAGTTCAAAAGTTAATTAAGTGTTTACTGACTATTGTTTTAAGGGAAGTCATGTGTTGGAATTTAACAAATTCACACTCATCATGAAAAAACAAAACACTAATTTTAAAAGTGTTACAAGAAAATTCTGGAACACTTCACTTCTCAGAAATTTGATGTCTACTTGAAGTAACATAGGTATACCATCAGTGTTATTGAACTTGCTTAAAATTATGTTTTGGTTGGTAGAGGAGACTAATTACATGCATGAAAGCTGGCAAAAAGCTAATTTCAATTGCTGTATGTTATATTGGGAGCTATATGACATTATGCATAATCTTTTGACTTTGAGTTCAAAATTTTGGCTGAATGTATTAGTTTCTACTGTTCATGTAGTTCAACATAACCAGTAAGCTGTTGCACTATGTGTAAGATCAGGTAAAACCTACAAACAGCGACTGTGGGACAAAGAAATCTGTCATATTTCTAAACTATTGCCCTTTATCAGAAAGGAGTGGTTGTTTGCAGTACAAAAAATTAGTTTATAAACATTTACATTTACCTTTGCCATAAGTCCACCTGCAATAACCAGAAGAGGGCTGACAGCAATTATTACAAGGGTTAATTTCCAACCATAAACAAATCCCATAATGAAGCCAACAAGAACTATTGTGATGGCTTGAAGGAACATACCAATTTTCTGACCGATGCCATCATTTACTTTGTCGAGGTCTCTGAGAAATTAATAGTGAGAACTATCTTAAATTTGTTGTCTTCTGATGGTAATTTCCTTCTACATTCAAGACTTGATATGAAATAATTTTGCAATTTTCCATCATAAATGGTAATCCTTCTAAATTTGTAATAATTCCTAATGAGTTTGTTCAATTTTAAATTCATGTTGGTTGCAAAATATGTGCAACAAAGATCATATGCCTACATCACCTCTCCATACTTAAAGCATATGTTATAGCAAGTGACATTCATGATATCTGAGTACATGCACACTACTCACAATAATAATAATGAGTACAGTGAGTATAGGTAAGTCAAGTAAATTGTTCAAAGACAACAAAATTGCATGAGCCTGTAGGAAAATTATTGTAATCCTATTGTTAGTCAGACATTTTAAATCAAAATATGGGACTTACTCAGTGAGCCTACTGTTGAGTTCTCCTGGATCAGTTGTGTCAAACCAACCTATGTCTTGCTTAAGGACAGATTGAAAGAAAGCTAAACGCATTTTTTTCACTTGTCGAGTAGCAGTAAGAGACCAAAATGCCATCTGACCATACGCAACAACCATGTTTCCAATAGCTAAATAGACATAGTACAAGGCAAATTGTGTCATCTCTCCTTCAAGATCAAATGGCTTTGTGTTGGTATCTGATTTTAATTTGTCAAAATTAATGAAGCTGTTGATAAGGTCACCAAAGATAATGAACTGTAGAGGAACAGCTGCACCATGGCCAATTGATGATATGGTTCCCAATACCATGAGCAGAACATCTACTTTATCACTAAATCGAAACTGAAAAACAATATGAAAATTTGGGGTTATCAGATATAGGAAATTTGTAATACTTGAGGAAAAATTAATGGGATTCAGGATATTAAAACAGAGACTTAGTGATGTCAAAGTGGATGATTGAAACCAAAGGACTTGACAGGATACCCAATATTTAGGCCAAAAAAATTAATAGGATAAAGGATACTCAGACCCCCTTCTAATAGGGCCTATAACCCTGTCACTGAGTAGCAAGACATGTGCACCACATAATCACAATGAGTGTCTTTGAGTTTCTTAAAACATGAAAGTCCACTATAAAAGGAGAGGTGCCTTAGGTACCTCTGGATCATTTGTCAATCAACCATTGTTTTTTTTCACTTGTAGAAAAACCTACAGATTCAAACAGCCTGAGCTACAGCTGAGCCAAAGTGAGTGAACAGCAGCCAATTTTTTCAAAAGCTCTCACTAATAAGTTTCTACATTTTCATCACAATGGAGGAATGTGTTGAGGTTTCTATCTCCTTCCTCTGGTGGAAACCATCTTTATTTGTAGCAGTAAATTTGAATTGACTCGCTTTACCATTATGTAATAATACCATGGCATAATCTCAAGTCTGTTTCCAAATACTGAATGTAAATGACCATCAAAATAAAAAGGAAAGATATAGACATGTTTAAGGCCTCTCTTCAACAATGGTTGCCATATTAGATCATTAGTACATTTGAGCTGAAACCAAGGGGCAGAGCTAAACTACTTATAGCATGCCTTTTTGCTTAATAAGTATGTGTTTCACACCTAATAGTGTGTACATTACATGATCAACAATGTACTGTAACAACCTGGAGAAAACTGAATTGGCTTTAATCTACAAGGTTCTGGCAAAAGCAATATCTTACTTTTTTTTGCATGCTACATTTCACTTCAAAATACATGTTCAATCCTTTGACACTATATAGTGCATAGTAATTTGTGCCTCTGGCTTCAAAATGATGATATTCAGTCCAAATAATTATTAATTACTGGTTTTCATTTTCAATGGTAAATAAGAAAAATCAACCATCAACTTTCATTTATTTTTAAACTTTTATCAGCTTTTCCGATGATGTCATTCTATCTAGTATTGTATACTAGCTGAGGGCATGAGGTTAAGATGGCTAGATATTGGCTAAGTTCTCTTTTTGCATCTTTATGTTCCTAAAGAACACATAATCCAGTTTCTCAAGGCAAGCCACAGTATAAGTTGTGATTGATTAGTGACTGTTTGAATTTATTTCGACACTTTTTGTTGACAAGAAGTGCTCTGTACGAAAATTAACCATTGGAGCCTATCCTTATTGGGAAAGTACAGGTTAATTTTAAGCTAAATTGTCAAGAAGAAAGACAATGACAAACAGATAGTATGATTATACCAAAACATTATCTAGTTGCATCATTAACACCAACTTACAAGTTTGAGTAATGGTACAGCTGGTGGTTTTTCTTCCTTCTCTTTCTTTCTCTTTTTATCTTTATCAGCACTAAAAAAGTAAGCAAGTACAAGTTCTTCACTACACAGATCCTTACAAATGAGTCATGATTTACATTAATTCATGCAAAGGGCTTGCTTGGCACATTATCTTTAAAGAGTTCTAATAATGTGTAGAATAACACTCCCATTTCGACCACACTCTAATCATCACAGGGTCCACCCCCACCACCATTAACTGATGCCTATATGAATAGCTAAAGGTTCATGGAATCGTAAGGGGGTGAATAGGTTTATTTAACAAAGGCAAAAGAGATAAAATTGAAGTAACTTGGGGTTGAAAAGGTCAATATGTCAACAATTTTTTCCTTGATTGTAGCTAATTTGCTACTATTGCAATTTTTTGCATGTGGGTGCCAAAGGGTTAATAAGTGACCAAAATTAATCTGATTTAAATATTCTAAAGGAAGGCGAGAATGATTTACAAATTAATGAAAAAATGCGAGGTATGATTTGGCCCTAGAAATACATATGACTTGTGAATCGTTTTTCAGTTTGTTTAAACCTGAAACCTCACACACAAAAAGAGAGATTTGAAGTTTTCCTTTTTAAACATGTGATGTGTGAAATGCTGTTTAAAGTATACATGAAGCCTGAATTTTTCTACAATTTGTGTGTGAAACGAGATCAGTACTCCCCCTTGCTACCATCAATTGCGAAAATCTTCTTCAAATCCTCATCACTTCACTACCCCTAAAATGTCAATAATGAGATGCATGTTTTAAGTTACAAGATGTACATGCACATTAACAAATACAAAAATAACACGTTGATGTAATTGCCTACAGCTCAAGGCAGTTGTCGATAGCTGCACCCTTATTTACAGTGCAGAAGTCAAGTAACACCGCCTAAGTACGCTACCACTTTCAAACTGACTGTTCTCAACCCAACGAAGCTAATTCCTCCGCGATCACTTCACAATCAGTAAGCAATTTGCACACAAAGTAGAAGTGATGGAGCACATCTTCAGGGCTTCATTCCTAATAATTACAAAAAATTGCGCTTGTGAACGACAAAAAAGGATTCAAAGGTTTCGCATAAAATAGCCGCCTCAAAAAACACGTTATCTCACATGCTAACCAATCATGTTCCAGTAACTTATAAGGAAATGAGTAAACAGGAGCTACGCCTCTCAAAAAGAGCGGTTTGCAAAATAAGCACCCATCTTACGTAACCGTTTACTTATAAGTAAATAACCTCGATTACCGTTCAAATTGGTTTCCATTCACGGAAAACACCCATTTCTTATGACTCAGCACAAATTGCTTGGTTGGCTTGGTATTCATTCTTACCTTTCACCCTTGTTTTCAGCTCCTTCGTCGACTTCGACGGCCATATTTGCTTTACCGTTTGTGAAGTGCGAACCATTCATTGCATCAGGAGCAATCTTAACTTCAAAATCATTCAAATTTTTCACTTCATTTGATTCACTCCTCGGACGGTAAGCACCTTCTATTCCATCCATGACAATTTCTTTTACCCCGCAAAGCAAAACAATGTGGTCTTCGTAAGTAAAAAGCGGCCTACAGGTGCCGAAGATTGTCAGGTGGCTTTCTCTGCTACGTTCTATGTGTGTGTTGTAGTCTGAACACCTCTCAACTGAGGTTCTTTTATTCTGATGGAGTGACGACTGACAGGTCAGTCTTCAGCTGAGCTCAGCGATATCTCCTGGCTGAGCTCAGCAATATATTCCGGCCCTTGTTTTATGAGCGACCATTGACTGAATCTGCTAGATTACGTGCCCCCTAAATTTAGCGCCCTTTCGTCACAAGTGCACTGCGCATGACTATGCGTCTCTCTTTCCGATTTTCCACTTAATCGAGTTTAGCAACAATGAAATCCCAGGAGTGCTTAACTTTCAATAGCGGAAAACAAAGAGGTCTGTAAGCACGTAACAGTTCGTGAGTGTCCTTATATGGAGTTGAACAGATGACATGTGAATATTGCAAACGCATTGTGGGTCACTAAGTTTGTAGAGCTCAGGATTTTTTTCCATGGAAATGTATGAAACTAAAGTCGATGGACTATATATTGTCTTTTTGGAGACTGAAGGCAACTCTAGAGATGGTAATAAATCTTTCCTTGATAGCATTGATACGGGAGAAATGTTAAGATGGTGAGACGATATCTTTTAGAATTATCAAAACCAATTTTTTGGGGGGGCAGAAAGCAGCTTTAAAGAGGGTTTTGAAAGCTGTGAATGGCACAAGTGCACACATGTCAACATTGTTTACCGTCTGTTTCAAAGATCTGTAAGAAAAAAATATAACACGAAAACATTTCTAAGTCTTCTAAACCGTTAAATTTTATTTAGAGTTTAAAAAAAGATGCCCCATAGAACTGCCATGATGGTTTATTTCGAGCACACATTAATAACAATTCCAGGCCAATCCTGTTGCAGTAGATGTGTACGAACAGACCTTCGATTTGTGTTTGCCCTTTTAAGGCCAAAATTGTTTTCATTTCCTTTAAAGGGCAAAAACGGGTGTCTTTAGTTAGTGTCAATGAAAATAAATTAAGCGGAGCAATAAACACATTTCTTTCGAGAAATTTAAAAAGTGTGATCAACAATCTCTCTCCAGGTGGCTGTGCCTGTAAAAACCTCTACTTTCATCTATACTGCACTGAATATTTGATCAACCAAATTCGTTGATTTATTGAAATAGAATCGGAACCTTTAGTACGCCTTTTGCTCTCCAACTTTTCGCTTTGTCTTGTTGTTGTGTAATTACCTTCAAACGGTATTATCTTATTAAATCTCTCATCTCATAATTATGACAACTTATTCCTCGTAATTCTTTGCATTGCGAATCTTTTCTTCGTTTCTTAGATATTGACTACAAATACAAGAAAGCCTAATGAGAAGAAAGTGGTTTTGTAACGATTAAATATCTTGACGGATTTTTAGTTTCATAACAATTGTTGTGGAACTTAGTTGAATTTGATTCCCTAGCTAGCTAGACAGAGGTAGTTTGACAGCACGACGACCGTTTCCTTGATACGAGCAAAAGCAGCCGTGAAGAAATATTCTCAAACTCATTAATAATTCATGCTGAGAAAACAAAGGAAATTACAACCGTGAAGGAGGTTTGGATATGTGATCTTAATTATCATAAAATTTGGTGAACTTTTGCTTTGATTTTCTCCAAGAATTATTAATGATTTGAGAAGCTACATCAAACATTCGAAAGGATGTTTCATCCGATATCCAAACACCTTGAAGTTGGTTAAAAAAAAAACTCGGCTGCGCCTCGTTTTTTCAACCATTTCGCGGTGTTTAGATATCTTCCTTATGTTTGATATATTACATGAAATGCTTAACATAAATAAAGAGGAAAGGCGAAATTTTCTCTCAACGTACTTCGCGGAAAATCCGAACTTGGGAAAACCAGATATCCGTTATGTTATTTTCTGACTAGAGGTCACAAATATTGACCAAATGGGGAAAAAAAAAAGATAGAAAAAACTCGACACTTAGGAAAACATTTGAAGACTGACTGCCGGGCAGAATATCAAATAATGACGAGGAACGTCGGCTTGCTGAAACTAATTATACATTAATATGCTCAGAAATGTTTCCCAGGTCCTTTTTTAAAGTGTAAGATCCTGTAAGACATTTCCATCAACCATTACCTTCACTATTATTCTAGCAAATGACGATTGCTGATATGTATGGATTCCTCCAAATAAAGTCGCACATGCACACAATGTTTCTTACACGATTTTTATAAGATCCGAATCGCGATATGATCACTCTTAAACTGAGATGAGCGATTTAAAATTACAAAAATCACTATTACCGGATAAAATAAATTTTTATTTACAAGATGAGTCTAGAAGATTGAGTCGAACATTTATTTTCGACGGCCTCAACCAAATATATTGAGTCGCAATGATAGGGAAAACTAGCAGCAGACCGCACAACACTTTACGGTACGTGCCTATTCAAGGACTCTAGACTTGTCTTTTACTGTTTCTTTTATCTGTCGGTTCTCTTATACACAATTCTACTTACATCAAGTTCTTTTTACTCTGTGTAACTCTGGTTATCTGACTCTTACTCTGATAAATCTCCTCGAGCTCTCAAGCATGCTTATATATTCGCCATCGGAAGGTATGCTGGTCAACTGACCTTCGTAGATTAATCTTTTGTTTTTAGCACACTAATCCCAACACTTGTACACTAATATCACAAATGAATAACGACGTGCTTAACGCTTCCGATAAGTTCAAGCAATTCATTCACTAGCTACTACATTCTAGATATAAACAAATGTTTAAATCATACTGAACCAACTAAATACATCATTTTTCAAAAGTACTTGGCTTCACACTAGAAGTTAAGTACTTTTCTAGTAGGCACCTGATTCAAGTGCACTTGAAAATCTCAAGTCGTACTTTAGAAAACTTGGCTTCACATCTGATGACAAAGTATAATATATAGATTTAGGCAAACCTAAAAGCGGAGCTCGCATTTTTTTTCTCCCGCACGTCTCTTCAACAAAACTAAAGCCCCTACTATGGATAAAGTGCGTGGTAATATTAATGGATTTTCATTCGCAACTTCTCCGTGTCCGTGTAGAGGACTGATTATAATATAGTGCCCGTGGTACAGTTGGCCACGCATGCTAAAAGTAGCACCTTGTGCGGTCGGTCGTACGGTCGTACGGTCGGTCGTACGGTCGGTCGTACGGTCGTACGGTCGTACGGTCGTACGGTCGTACGGTCGTACGGTCGTACGGTCGTACGGTCGAACATCCAAATTTTTTCGGCTCGATGGGTTACTACTATTTTGTATAATTATGAGGCTACGCTCTGCGAGCTCCACTATTACTTGGAACAGTCAAGCTGTCAATCATCTTTCGCGGTAAAATCAGTCATGCATATCACAAACACGGTCGCTCGCAAGCAAAATCGTGAGGCCTTTGCAACGGGTGTGTCCACCGCTAAAACTGTCTGTACCGAATTCGAACGTTCTCTTCTACGACTAAAAGACCAGTTTATTAAGTTTCCAAAGACAAGACAAGAGTTATAGGAACTGATGGATGGGTTTGAAGAGGAACACTGTGACGAAATGCTGTTAGAAGTATGCTGGCATAAACTACCTGACTATATCGAAGCTGCGCACATAGGCACATACAATTGAACTTATCACAGTGAGCGTGCCACTAATAATTATATAACGAGAGGCGCATCCGGGATTTAGTCAGTTATTCCTTCGGTCTTTTGAACATGTAACTGCTCGGTTTATGTTGAAGTAATAAGTACGCTTTTTAGCCAGGTAATTTATGCTGGCATACTTCTAACAGTGTTTCTTCACATTTCCTCTTTCTTTCTCGAAATCAAAGTTATCAATCCTAAGGGCAAACTGATTGTGACATAACAAAGTCTTTAAAATGTTCAGGGGGTTTTCTCTGTCTTGTTGACCTCCTGACCCCCCGCCCAACTAATGAGTCTGGTGTTGGGGCAGATTCAGCTATAGGGGGATATGGAGACAAGTATGGAGTTGAGGTGGATTCAGCTACAGAGGGCAGTGCTGAGGGTGTGTTGACTGGACCTGGTGGCACCGCGGGTTGAGCCAATGGAAGTGGGGTAGAATCAGCAGCAACATCCTCCAACGGCTGCTCATTAGTGAGCCAGATGTCTTTTCGATTTCGACGGCGTACTTCTCCGTCAATTCTGATGTCATATGATCTGAGATTTCGCTAATTGTTGGCGCTATAGACGGTTGTCACACCGAAATAAACGATAACCACGAGGACTATTTCAACAGAAAGCAGCATTATAGTGTCAATTTACAAGCCATAATTAATTGCAGTTTAAAATTCATTCATGTTAGCTTGAGTATCCTGGAAGCATGCACGATACCAGGGTGTTAAGATTAAGTGGCCTTTTTTATCTTGGAGAAAAAGAACTAGTTTTAACATCACCAAAGAAAGTTGTCAGTGCGACAGAAATTCCCCCTCTCATTATAAAAAAAGGGCGTATCCACTGTTGAAATGGCTTGTCAAACTTTATCCTAATAGAAGGCATCTTACACCAATGAACGTGAATTTAACAAAAAGCTTAGTGCTGCAAGGTCTGTTGTTGAAAGAGCATTTGGCGCGTGCAAGGGACGCTGGCGGTTACTATTAAAAAAAGTTGAGCAGCAAACCAGAACACTCAGTAAAACTGTTATTGCTGCATGTGTTTTACATAACATCTGTGGCGATCACGGCGACTTGTACGATTGCAGCGATAGCGATTCAGATGACAGTGATTCTGACAACGATTATGAAGGACCATTACGCGAGGGCGGCGCTGAAGTAAGGGAAACACTAAAGAACTTTGTGTGGGATAACTTGTAATTATTTAATTTGAGTGTGTTCAAGATACCAGTAAGTTATTCCGTACAAAGAAACTACTTGTATTTGTTCGAAGAGAGACGAAAACAAAAAGTGGCTGATTTGTTTGCTGTTAAATTCGTTCATTTTGTTGGGTTTCTTTATCATGGCCAGGTGGACCGTGTGTTTTATAACTTATGTAATTAAGAAAAGGCAGTAAAGTTCAAATGCCAAATTCTCGGG